ATATATATACTTTTTTTTTGTTATTTTTGCTGGAAAGGATCTGCCAGTACTTTATGTAGTTCCATTCTAGCAAATTGTTTGTTTTACTATAATTTTGAAGACAAAACTAGCAAGTTATTAACTTTGATGTTTTGCATCTCACTCCATCTGATGAAGAATTTTTTTCTGCATCTTCAAGTTTATAAATTAAATTGTCTCCCTTTGAGAGAACTAAACCTGTAAAAAATATGGCTACCTAATGGTTCACATCTCTTGACAGGTTGCCTTTGAAAATGTCAAGAAGCAGCTTGATGTCAGCGAGTCGCCGATGGAGCTGGTCGATGAAGCTGATCTTTACAGAGATGAGCCAGTTAATGGGGAGCAGAAAGAATGGAGTATCGATAATGAGAACCCCCACTCCTTAATCAGGGCAATTCAAAGCAATCCGTCATCTCCTGCTGGCCAAACACGCAGCATCGGAGCAAGTTACATGTCCTCACCACCAGAGTCAGACACTAGTAGAAGTTCCTCATTCAACAAGAGCAAAGGCAAGCATTTGTCTGAGGAGTTGAAGTATAAAATAGACTCACAGCAGATACGAGTGTCAGGGATTGGCAAGGGTGAGACTGAAATTAATAATCTCTGCAGCTGCACCAATGGTCTTGTTCACCCTTATCAATGCTTTGATTGCAACAGCTTTCATGACCCCACCTGTGCCTTTCTTGACGAGTGCACTATGAAAGGCCACAACGTGCAAGTTGCTGACAACCTGCCGGAGAAAATGAAAGAAGCTCACGAGTTGTCGCTACCAAGTGCGATCTTCAGGGAGAGCGGGACAAAAAATGTGACCAGCACCAACGCAGCCGCGTCCTCCTCAGATGTGTGTGATGATGCTGAATCAGCAACGCTTCAACCAATCAGCTACCACAACTGCTGCGACCTGAAGACGGTAAACCCAGACCCTCGGATCTTTTGTCCCAAATGCCTTGTCTTCCACGCCCATTTTTGCAAGGAGGGAAAATTGTGTCAAGAAAGCCATGAGGCCACTCGGCTGGGACTGTGCTCCTGTGGGAAGTATTGTTCCAGAAAGCCTTTAGTTCTGTGCCGGTACTGTGGAAGAGAGTATTGTCGCAAGTGCTGGTTCAGACAGCCCATTATGTGCATCTGTGGCCAAACATTCGACCAAGAATCTTCTGTCTGATGTGCACTCAAAAAGTTTTACACTGTTGAGGCACATTTAGCAGAATCACTGTGCCTTAAATCTGCATATCGAATGCCAACTGATTTGACGTTGCCTTGTATAAAATGCTGTTCTATATGTGTTCTCTTTTGTTTCATAAGTTGCCATAATCAGCCTTTTGAGAAGGAAGTGTGTTGTTGAAATACTTGTGATCTGTGCTTCTGGGTCACTGCAACATGTTGCAAAGCACATTAAGTGTTAATCTGTTAGTTGTTTGCACAGTTTGGAGTAAAAAGGGTTGTCTCAAAATTTGTTTAGTGTGTTTTGTAATACACAGTACTTCCAGCTTTTCACTTGTTTTTTCAAAACAAAAGTAAAATGTGTTGTTTTTCTAAAGGCAGTCAATAATTAAACAGACCGTTTTGTAAATCGCAAGAGGAAATTTGTAAAATATGAAATAAATTGCAGTGGGATTATTAAAAAAATCTTGACACAAAAACATTAAGAAAATGTTGGTAATCCAATCACGATGTTCACTGACAAACTAGAAGTCTCCTCATTTGGTAACGGTAATGAAATGGATTAAATAGTTACAAAGAATTTTTTCTTCACAAATACTGGATTAACCATTTCATAAGATACTGAAGATGATGCTGAACAATTTATTACCAATACACAGAAACAGTCCCAAAGTGTAAGCTTTGAAAAAAAAAAACCAAGAAACAGTCTAGTGTCAACTCCATAACACTTATTAGACTCGTTATTGTATGAACTTCCAGGATTTGATTTTATCCTGATAATCTTGAACATTACTATAAACGGTGCCCGATTGCTGTAAATGTTACTTTCTTAATGAAATAGAAAAAAGCAATAGAGTGGAGCATAAACAATTGCAAAAGGAAGAGAACTCACATTTTAGACCATGTAAGTAAATGTACATAGAGTATGCTTCAACAGTTGTACCCATGCCAAATGTGTTGGATCCTGACACCACCACATTTTATGATTCACTTATCTAGGTCCACATAACGTTTCCACCTTTGCTTCTACATTGAAACAATATTTTCTAATCGTTGATGCATTTGTCCCAAGACGACGACAACACCACTGCAGGGACGGTTTTCTATTTGGAGCTATGAACTTCTTTAGTTCAGAATCAAAAACAATTCACAAAACCAATATTGTAAAAGCTTTCTTCCACACAGTGATATTAAGTTGTGCAGCAGCATTTTTTTTTTAAACGTCTCTATTTATATTTAAGTTTGGTTGTGACTGCGAAGGAGTTTTCTATTCGTTATGCTCCTGCCAGTGGATATTAATAAAAGTTTTGCTGTCCATGCGGTCAATGTAGAGAATGCCGTTCAGGTGGTCCATCTCATGTTGGAGGATCCGAGCTGTCCAGCCGCTGGCCTGCCACTTAACAGCTTCACCTTTTTCATTTAGACCTAGATAAGAAAAATTACGAAAAATGCATTAGCAAAGTTTTATTACAACAACTAATTAGATTAGATAAAAGTTGCGTTTACACAGGAAACCTGGAGATTCAATTTAATTCAAAAATACTTTATTAATCCCAGAGGGAAATTATGTGTGTGTTAAATTACATATATATATATATATAATTAGATATGTTCCCTGGAAGGGATTAAAAATAAATTGTAGGACTTCTGCAAGAGGCACATTTACCACTACAAAAACCAAGATAAAACATGCGTACCAGATACTTCCACACTCTGGTAGCGTGGAACTGTGGCAGAAAAGCCCGATATGCTCAGACAGGCCTCCTGAAAAAGCACCATCTGACTGTCAAGCACCTTCAGCTCAGGATTCACGAAAATCCTCAGAGGCTGAACAGAGAGTCCCTGGGCCTCCCTGACTGCAGGTAAAATCTCCTCAAACATCTTCACCGGATATTCAAGCATCAGGATGCGGAGCGGCACCCCAATCTGTGGCGCACTCAGTCCCATGCAATCAAGCTTCCTCATTACTTTCCTCATGCTGCTCATGACTTGTTGGATCTCAGGGGTCATTACAGCTCCTGGATCAACAGGAGCTGCTTGTGATCGCAGAATCGGATCCCCTACCTGGCACGCATGGCTGTACGGAGGACTCGGAGGGGAGATGATTTTGCGTTTCATGTATTTAAAGTAGGAGCGTGCTTTAAGGTTGCTAGACAAAGAGCGTCTGCAGGCTGAGCTGTGTGGCAGAAGAGTGGAGGCTATGGTTAAGTCCAGTGCTCTGGGACCAGGACGAGGGAACGCACAAAGTCTGAAGCCTGTCCATGAGAGCTGGAGCAGAGACACTGATGACTTGGTGTTCATGGTAGCAATGAGTCTGCAGGACAAAAACAGAAACAGTTAGAAAATCAAATAACACGCTGAGATTTTGACTTAAGGGTTTAAGCAGGTGCTAGATAAACAGAATAAAACAATCCAGCTTACAGTCAATGTTTCTGTAGAAAATACACGACTCAAATAATTACTGATTTTTGAATGAAGTCTTTCTCCTTGACATCTAAGGTGCGCTCCTTTAGCACCCCATCCTTAATCCTTGGCATTTTCGACATTACCCTAAAGTATTTTCAATGAGTCCGGAGTTTCTAAAAATTCAGTTCGAAATTTTAAAAATACATTTATTACTATTAATGGAGCTCCCGGTTCAAAAATTGAATTGAAGCCTCAAGTTTAATTAACTTTTACGTTAAACACCGCCTGGCGGGGTTGTCATGTACAACAAACCATGCCTCCCCCACCCAAGTAAAATCCCTCTAGACAAGTTAGGAGCGTGACATTGTTGTAATATTTACGATTTGTCCCTACTTTTGCTAACTAAGCGTAATATTTGTAACTCGAAAAACATGACACAGCTCCGTTACCTTAAAGAATGCGTGCAACTAAAAAAACATCACATTTTTATGGAGGTGAAAATCCAAGGGTAATCACGACTACTGAACTACAGATAGAAATCACTTCCGGTTATTTGCACATGCGCAGTATCCTTATCTTCAGAGTAAAGGTCGATGTTTTTTTTTTTTTTTTTACAATGGGATTTAGCAAAATCACTAAATACTTCCCCGTTCAAATCAAATTATGTCATAAACGTAAACAATGTGACCGCCTTTTTGGACAATTTTGCTTGGCCACAAATGTAAAAACGATTTAAAATAAGCTCGAACCTACGTCCACCATTTATCTATACGTCCGCCTAACCCGTCTCACACAGAGAGAGTGGAAATAATAGCAAGGGTTTCGTGTTCTTTTCAAGTACAATCATACATTCCCGCATAGACTTAAAAGAACCTTTATTTTGACAGCTTCGAACAGCTACCGGATGCACCAGAGGCGGAAGTAGTTTGCAACGTCTGTTTTTAAACTTTAATCAGTTTCCGTTCAGCTGTTCATGTCGGTAACTTGCCTCTACATGCCCAACTGGAAGAACAGTGGGGTGAGGGGATGAGGTTGTTCATTATTGAGGGGAACAGACTCACTTTTGCTTGCAGGTCTGATCGTCTTTGTGACAGAGCGCAACCGGATGTAAGAGGATGGATGCTCATGTAGCTCCAAAGTTTCCGGTGTGGATCATAGAGCACATCTGGGCTCACAAGATGATGGACATACAGGAAGGTTGGTCGTATTAAAATGAATGTCTTTATTTGTTTATTGAATCGGATGTCTTAGTGTGAACGACATTCTTTATACAGAGGTTTATGTTTCATTCACAGCCATATTGCTCTAATACTTTTATTTACAGTCTGTGGTTTCATCATTTAACCATTTTTATGTGGCATTTTCCATGCTCTTTATTTTTATGTAACCAAAATATGTTCCTCTAGTTTTTCTTTTTAAATGAAAGATTTGTTTGTAAGTTTGTCTGAGTAACTGCTCAGGGATGTTAAACAAGAAAATAACCATCACACGACAACTCAAATATTTAAGTAATATGTAAATAGGAGCATTTAAAACAAATTAATCAACAGTTGTTGGCAGAGATGTGTTTGACATCATTTTTGCACAAATTTAAGCATCGCAGGCAGCAATGTTTTATTAATATATTATTAAAATGTAACATCGTCTTCATTTTAATACCAATCGAAAAAGAAACAGTGGAACTGGATCAGATTTAATTATGAAAAAGTTTAGGTTTTTACCTTAAATTGTGTGACGTTTATTTTAATTAAGCTGCCTGATAAAGTCTCAGGAGGACTCAATGTTATCTTTGCTAAACTAAACAGGTTTAATTGACTTATTTTTAAATATCTCTTGTGTTTTGTGGTTGCACACACCCCTGTGTAGGTGCCGTGTGTCTTGGAGACGACTGAACTGAAGATGAATGATTGTGTCTTCACATTGTGTCTCCGCAGCCGTCGGCCCGTGCAGCTGGCCAGATGTGGACTCTCAGCCTCTGAGCCTCGAAGACTCGTGGAGGCTGCGTGTCGTCTCCGCCCAGGTTTACTCCATCGTGAAAAGCAGGGACACGAAGAACTACGAGAGAGTAATGGGATTTTTAGACTCCACATACAGACTTCTACCCAGACTAGTGCGTGCCATCAAACACATGAAGATTCTGTTTGGACTCAAGACAATGGTAGAAATATAAGATGGTGCTTTTAGTCATAAATCTGACGAAAATCTGCAACTATTCCGTGGGGGGGGGGGGGGGGGTGTTCTCTACTTGGGTATTCAGCTTTTCTCTGGTTGTTGTCTCTTGTTGCAGGTAATTATGTGGATGCTAAAAGAGGACGAAGGAATGATCAATATTGTGTCTAAAATTGGACAGTTCTTTCCAAACAAACTACCTCAATACCAGGATCAGTGTGTAAGTGTCAGAAACTGAAACTGGATGCACTTTTTATGATTACTCATGCTGCAAAGATTCGGAAGCTTCGATGTGCAAATTATTAATGAACAATTAACAAAAACATAACATACAAGCATCATTTTGATTATTTTATTTTATTTCTTTACATAAATACAATGACTATGTTTTGAAAAAAGTATATATTTGTTCATTAAACACTATGACCAGTAATGTGGTTGTTGGTTTATGATTTTTATATCATTTTATAGCTCTGGCAATCTCTTAAGAACTTTTCTCAGTCATCATGCACACAAACCATATTCTTCAGTGTCTTAACTTCTAAATCTGTGGCTGTTCAACATTTATTAACTCTACTTTAGCTCTGTGCAGACTACCCGTTCTGTGCCTGCTCTTACAGAACTGGAGGTACAACTAAATAACTGTCAAATTAAGAAATGCAAAGTAGTGTCACAGTGAACACAGTCCTCATTTTCAGTATAAATTGCTTCTATAGTCATATTTGTCTGTATGAAAATCTGAAATTGAGATCCTGAAGTAATCCTTTGTTTTGTTTTCTTTCAGAGTCAGCGTGAAATGTTCCTCATGAGGAAGAACCACGTCGAATTTAAGAGTTTTGCACAAACACTCGCTATAAACAAGGACAAAGGGGAAGAATATATTAAGGTTAGTTTAAAACACCTCACCAGATTATGTTGTTTACATATATTTGTGTCTTTGTAGTTCACTGATGCTTCACTTCAGTGTAATCAAACTGTAAATCTGATAATAATACAATTAAGTAAGGAGTCCTGCATATGAGTTTTTCAAATCATCGCTCAGTACATTTACAGAGACGTCAAATAAACTGCACGTCCAGATGCCAACTCAGCAGCTGAGCATTATAACACCTAAACAAGAAAGATTTATATTTGCTTGCTTCCATGCCAGATTTTCTCTCATCTTTGGTATCAGTATAACGTTTGCAGCTCAACATCATAAAACTGATTTCAAACCTAATTAGGAAATGAATGTTCACATTTACGTGACCTGTTCTGTCAAAATGGGTCAAAATGAACTCAGGCTGTCGTGTAAAAAACAGGAAAATACAAACTTTTGTTGTGACTGATATTTATATAGTGTCAGTTCAGCTTTTATTATTTGAATTTCCAGTTATTGGTTACGTTTAGCCTCCAAATGTTTTATTTGACCTTAGGAATGGTTTATTATTATTATTATATATGAGATGTGGTGTGACAACTGCAGCAAGAGTGCACCAAAGGATTTTCATTACAATATAAATATGCACAAATTAGTAAATAATCTTACATGGTACTGGAAAAAAATGTGCAAAGTAATAAGCAGATGGCAGATCATATGGTGGGGTTACAGGAAATACAGCGTTAGGGTAGAAAGAGTTTCTCAGCCTGTTTTTCTCGGTTGTGATGGCTCTGTGATGCTCGCCAGGAGGTAACGAAACAAACGGGTAAAGATCAGGAGGTGATGCATTTATAGTTTCCTTCTCAGCTGCACCGTTTTCTGTCCAACTGGTGGTGCTATAGATCTACATTTATCCACATACAGTATCTTCCTCTGAAGTGTACACATTTACAGCAACCCACCACAGTATAGAAAAAAAATGATGCAGCATGACAAATATGTTGTGGTTTTCTTCTGAAAACTTCCTGTGGGGAAACAATGTTTTATATGGTGCTTTTTGGAGAGGAGTTTAAAAATGTCCAAATACTTTAGAGCAAAACTGTAAACTAAAAGAACCGTTTTATTTACCGTGACGGTTTAAATTTGCACATACAGTGAATAAATGTTTTCTATTCTCCAACTTCTTTTATAGTTTCTACATGACATCAGTCAGACTACTCAAACTTTGTATGTAATGAAGTTTGTTAGAACTTAATAATTAGTAATTATACCACATTACACTGAGTGATTAAATAACTCACTTTTTATTTTGTTGCAACATTAAATATATTATTTACTGTAATTTTTAAAAATTAATTAATTCTTTTTATTTTATTTTTATTTTTTTAAGAATCAAATGGAGGAGCATTATGGAGAACATTATGCTCAGAAAGTACAGGACAGGCTGCTGCACTATCTACATGAGCTGGAGTCTGCTCTACCAGGAGACACCTACATCGATAAGGTGTGTGTGTGTGTGTGTTTGTATATGTTGCTTTGTAAGGCCCATTTTTCCAACTTATACTACACTGTGAGGACCATCTTCTCCTTATGAGGCCCAAAGCCTGGGCCCCATAAGAAGAAGTGCCGTTGATGGGTTAGGTTTACGACTAAGGTATGAATTGAGGATGTGTTAGGTTCAGGGTAAAAGTCAGGGTTAGGCTATAGAAATAATGGAAGGCAACACAAAGTCCCCATAAAGATAGCAAAACAAAGCGCTCTCTCTCTCTCTCTCTCTCTCTCTCTCTCTCTCTCTCTCTCTCTC